AGGATAATTTTGGTACTTTTTAAAGCTGAGGGACAATTTTGGTACCAAAGTGACAAGTTAAGGGACCAAAATGGTACTTAAACCTTTCCAATGTCACCCTTCCCATTCCTTTCTTATACCCATTTTAACCTTTAACTTTAACAAAATTACAAAATTATCAACACCAAATTAAAAAATGTATGCCTACAGCTTGCTCCTCTCATCAAACATTCCTTATTGTTTGGACCGGCCGGTTCACCGGTTCAACCGGTTGAACCGGTCAAACCAGGAACCGAATCTAAAAACGGTTCAATGATCGATCCGGTTTTGAAAACATTGATCCTACCTCTACTGTTTTTCGCCCCTTTTTGGAATCGCCTCCTCCATCTCCATCTCCTACTCCTGGCCCGATTCCTTCCCCGTCCGCGCCCGCTCTAATCTCCACTATTTCCTTGCCAACTACTCCTTCGTCGTGGCTGCCGCTTGCGACCTATCCCTCCTCACTGCCCCGTTCTCTCTTGCCCTCCTCTCCGTCATCATTGCACTCTGGATCCTCCTGTAATTGTTCAGAGAAGACCCTTTGGTGCTATGGGGCCATAGCATAAGCGATCGGTGGGTGCTCTTCTATTTGGTCGGCGTCTCGGTCTTGGCAGTGTGGGTGTGCGACATGGTGGAGAATTTTGTTTGCAAGTTTGCAATCTTGGGGGCCAAATCAGGCAAGGGTGTTGGTCTTTTCGTCTTTTTGCCTACGTCACTTTTGCCCTTTTAACCCGTTGAAAAAAAATAAAAAATAGAAAAAAGGCAAAAAACAAATGAATAGTCAGAGAATAATAACCTTCATGCCTTGGGTAATTTGCATGAAGAGGCGAAAAAACCCGGTAAAAGTAACACTGTAAAAGGGTATTTTTGGACATTGACATGAATTGCTTTTTAAATTCCTGTAAGATTTTCTACTGTGACTTAGTATCTAAGCATCCCATCCTTGTTTGATTATATTTTAAATAACAGAGTTTAGTTGCTAAAAATGATTCAACCAAGGGATTCTACCAGAAATGGTATTGGGCTTGGTAAGTATAAGTGATGGTTTTGGTGGCTGTAATTGAATTTAAATCAATATTTGCTTGGTTAAACATAATTCTGGATTGAAGCTAGTGCAAGAAATATGCTTAATAAAAAAGAATACTTAACCTGCAATTGAACCTATGAATTAGGACATGATTAGTTGTTGTGTGCGAACCATGAATAAGGCTTACAAATATATCTTGGTGGAGATTCAGGTGTGTTAGCTATTAATCTTTTCATCATCATTATTTGAATATACACATGCTTAATTTGTTGTTTTTTCATCATTTTCCCTGTTATTTCTTCAAATTTTCAACTGTCTTAGCATGAAATCTTTCTTAATTTTCTATAACCAGCAAAGGAAGGCCTGGATCTGCTTAAGTATTACTTGTTTAATGAAATCAGCGAACTCTAATTAGTGAATTTCCTTCTATTGTCTGTGTCACAAGGAAGAATTAATGGCAAAGGGAAGAAAGCAGAAAAGGACTGGAGCCAATGAAGTAGAAAACAGACGAGGACCAGGACGTCCGCCAGGGCCGCCACTGTCTGAAGAAGAGAAGAAAAAGGACGGGGAGAAAAATATGGAATCAAAGATGGTTAAATAAAAAATCAAGGGAAAGGAAAGTAAGAATTTATTGTCCAATCTTGTCTACTCTGATTTTTCTCTCCAGATGGTTTTCTCTGTTTATCATTTCCTCTTATCTCTTGGATAAGGCTTTGTTGCAGATACCGTATGACGGTGATGTAATGAAAAGTTTTCGTTGCGTTCGAAAAAAAACAGGGGTCATTAATGACGATGAAAATAACAAACTGTTGCTGCGCTGTGGTCATGGCTTACATATTTTTGTTAAGTGAATTAAAATGATCAGATTTTTAACAGTTGTTAATTTATAAAATAATTAATATTTATTATATAAAATATTAAACTCATATTATAAATAAATATTTTTAAATATTATAATTAATTTTTTTTTAATTATAAACTTATAAAATTACAGTTAAAATTAAAATCTTTGGTGGCGATAATCTCAGTGCTGTCTCCGATTCACTGAATTCTGATTAACGCACTACACCTCGGGAGGCATGGTAGAGGTCAGATTTTCTTGGCTTGGGTTTGATCACAAGACTAAACGAATAAAATAAAGCATTTGACTAGAAGATAGACATTATCATGTAATATCAAAGATTCAACACAAACTAAAACAACTAGTAGTTGAGTCTTACAGAAAAAGGGAGGTTAAAATTGCAAATTCATGGTTGCTTTTGCTGAGAAAGGAGAAGGTAGAAAAGGAAGTGCCCGGAACTTACAGGGTAACCCACTTATTTGAAGCGTCTTGAATCTGTTTTCCACAGGATCATAACAAACCAGAACACTGTCGTTATACTGTAACAGAATCTCACCATTCTTCAGTGCACACATAAATCCAATTGAGATTGAAATATTAAGTGGCCATGGAGCTGAATGGGGATCAAAGGAGAATTGTTTTACCCAAGATTCCTTAACACGGTATTGCTCCATCACCCAGATATCTAAATGCCCAGTTTCAACAAACCCAACAGCCGATAGACACCCATTGAGCACGAAAAGACAGTAGCGATGTGACAGAAGTCGTTGAAAAGGTGGGTGCGGAATTTCTTCGAACATCTCATCTGCAAGGTCGAAGGAGAAAATACCGAAGATAGGACCGACTCCTCCCATCCCAACATCAGTCACCCAATGGAGAGATCCTTCAACTAGAGCCCCAGCTTGTTCGATTCCACGCCCGAACTGTTGAGGGGGAGCTCCTTTATTTCTCCACTCTGTTGTTCCTACGGTAAACACCTGAACCGAAGGGTCTGCAACCGTCACAATCCTGACCACTTTGAATTCTCCAGTCCTCGGATGAAACCCAAATCCATAGACTTCAAATTGAAAGAGAAATCGGTTCGCTGGTGGGTTCGCTGGAGGGTTCGCTGGTGGGTTCGCTGGTGGGACTGTCACAGCGTCTCCAACCAAAGGATTGTAAATTAGCAGACTGCAAGACCTCGATGAACCACCGATTATGGGAAAGGAAAAGCATAACAGCCCGTTACAATCACCCACCAGACTACAACCTTCTGAATGCCGTGGTGGGTCGATTTTCCTAACCCTTCCACTACAATCCACTCTATCCACAAGATAGCGCTGCCGTGGCTGGGAGGAAACGACATAGTGGTTTAACTCAAACAGAATCAGGCATGGGTTTGAGTCACTTACTCGGTTGTGGAACATCTGAGGGAATCTTGGATCGGCAATTAAATCACGGCCGGCACGTGATGTGCTCTTGAAGCGGATCATAGACATGACTGGGAGTCTTGATAGGATTTCGAGCAGAATCTCCGTTGGGAGAAGATAAAGATCTCTCTGGACCATCGCTCTGTTGGAAGGATTATCTGCAAGGTTGACTCTTTTCTTCTCTCTTGCCTCTTCGGCATCCATGGGTAATCTCGATAGAATATCAATGGTAACTTCTGCTGGCGGAATGGCTTTCTTCCTCTGGATTCCCTTCTCACGACTCAAATCCGTAGCTTTGAAGCCTTCAATTTCTGATGTTGAAGATATTGTGAAGGAACATTAGCCGCTGGAGAGAAGAAAGAGCAAACCTCATGCGTGAAAAAAATTTAAAAAACATTAGGTGTCAGTTTCTGAGACCTTTCAAGGAAATAAAAATAAAAAATAAAACATGGACAGGCCCTTCAGATCTAAGAAATTCAACCTATGCCCTTAAAGGTTTGGGTGTGTTGGTTGGGTTTCGAATCCGGTCGACACTTTAGAAAAAATTCTCCTTCCTTCAAATTACGCTAATAACCTACTTTTAGTTTTTTATTTTAATAAATTTATAAGTTTTAAATTTTAATTTTATATTATGATATTTTTATCTTTTATCTATATAAATTAAAAAAAATAACTTTTATTTATGTTTTGTTAACTGATTATTAATATTTTATTATAAAAAACATAAAATTTAAATTCAATTTTATTTGTTAATTTTATTAACGAAATGTTAATAGTTGATTAACAGAATTAATAGTCAACAAATAAAATTAATAATCAACTAACAAAACTAATAATTAACTAATAGAATTAACAAAATATTATAATCTGACGTTAAGTAAGGATTTTTTTCTTTAATTCATATAGATAAAGAGTTAAAAGTCTCATAATATAAGATAAAAAGTTAAAATCTACAAATTTATTAAAATAAATAGTTAGAAGTAAATTTTTACCTCAAATTATAGATTGTTTAAAAAATAAAAAATGAAAAATAGAGAGTAGAACTGTAGAAGTAGAAACGGTCCAAAGAAAGGGAAAACAACGACAAGAAACAATATTAGTTTTAGGTGTTTTATGGTCTCACAATTTAAAATATATTAAAATATTATTAATTTAGGATACATCCAACGTGATATACCTTATTGTTACCTTCAACTTAGAAATTTACAAGAAAATTACAGACAAATGAAATAAATAATGTGAATGCGCCTCACATTTGCTTTTCAGAACTTATATTATATTATAGGTTAAATTTTTAATTTGATCCCTGAACTATTATATAGACCTTTGATTTGATCTTTAAACTAAAAAATATTTGATTTGATCCCTAAACTATTGTACAGACCATCAATTTGGTCTTTATTGTTTATCAATTTGTCCTAAATTAGTTTTTTCGTATAAATAAAAGATGAAAAATAGTAATTTAATGACAAAAAATAATAACTTAACGATCATGTGTCACATTAATAACAAGACACGTCAGCTGTTTTTGTATAGAAGGATCAACTTGAGATAAATTGATAAACAGTAAGGGACCAAATCGGGGATCCATATAGGCATATAATAGTTTAGGGATTAAATTAGAGATTTTTTTAGTTTAAGGACCAAATCAATGGCCCATCAATAGTTCAGGGACCAAATTGGGATTTAACCATTATTATATTGAATACAATTCCAATGCTACTGAAGGTCAGTGGTTTGCAAGTGCGGCCAGAAATTTTTTTAAATAATTATATAATATTTT